TCGGTTGGAGTTATTTTCTTCCCTGTAGCAGAAGTGCATGTCTGATGCCTGGGACAGCGAGTGACCTCCCTCAGCCCTGCAACACCCTTGAGGTCTCAGCGCACCCTCAACTCCGACTTCATTTACATCCCTGAACTGAAACCATTGCAGCTCTTGTTGCCATGTGCTCCCCATGAAGACTGGGCTGGAGGTGGAAGGCTGAATAAAGTAGGGATTGTACAAGAAGGCAGGATTGTGTTTATTGGGACAGGAGGGGAGGCCATTTGATCTTTGAGCCTGTTCCATTACTCTGGGAGGTCTTGACTAGCCACTGCCCTATGGCCCTTTATCCCTTTTGATTAACAAAACCTTTCAGACCCTGACTTAACATGAAGAATTGACCAGTCGCTGCTTTGCGAACTTCTTTCAGCCTTTGTATGGAGAAGTGTTTCCTGATTCTATCCCGAAGCATCAAGTTCAATGCCTCCTAGGCCCTCAAACCAATAGAAATTGTTTCTCCAGCTAACCTCTCTGGTTATATTGAAAACACCAATTACAGTTAACTGGCTAAACTCAATGGAATACAACTCTACATTTTGGAATCTCCCCACCATAATTTAACTCTTGGTGTTCAAGCACTATTCTGATGAGTTTACCCTGTCCTTTTTTTTTGATTTGATTTATTATTGTCACATGTAGCTAGCTACAGTGAAAAGTTTTGTTTTGCGTGCAGTACAGTTAGATCATACCATACAAAGATTATAGGGTGATTGAACAGAGCGGGGATTACAAATTTACAGCTGCCAAGAAGATGCACAAAAAGCAAGATCAACATTAGATCTGAAATCTGAGAGGCCCATTCAGAAGTCTAATAACAGCGGGAAAGAAGCTGTTCTAGAACTTGTTGGTGCATGTGTTTAAGCTTTTGTATCTTCTGCCTACCAGGCTAGGAGGGGGTCTTTGATGATGTTGGCTGCCTTTCCAAGGCAGAAAGAAGTTTAGATGGAGTCAATGGATGGAAGGTTGGCTCATGTGATGGACTGGGTTGTGTTCACAACTCTCTGTAGTTTCTTATGGTCCTGGGCAGAGCAGATACCGTACCAAGCTGTGATGTATCCACATAGCATGCTTTCTGTGGTGCATCTGTAAACGTTGTTGAGGGTCTTTATGGACATGCTGAATTTCCTTAGCCTCCTGAGGAAGAAGAGGTGTTGTTGTGCTTTCTTGACTGTCGCATCAGTGTGGGAGGACCAAGGCACACTGTTGTTGGTTATCGTTACTCGTGGGAACTTGATGCTCTCGACCCCTTCCACCTCTGCTCCATTGATGTAGATAGGGGCATGTCCTCCTCCTTGCTTCCTGAAGTTGATGATCAGCTCTTTAGTTTTGCTGACGTTGAGGGAGAGATTGTTATCTTCGCACCATGCCACTCTTTCTCTGCGGCCATTGGATCCTTCCTAAGGGGAAACCTGAGACTGCTCCTAGTGCTACACGGTTGATCTGACCAAGGCCTTGTACCATTGAGGTATAATTTCTACCTCATTAAATTCTTTTCTTGCGTACTGTTAAAATAAGTCACATTTTGTCAAAGCTTTTCGTCTCTCACTCATCAGGACAATTCACAACAATATCAATTCAAGGGGAAAGCCAGCATTCATACTGCATGAGACGAGAGGGCTGATTAGTTGGCAAGTGGACTCTAATTGGTAGAGGCTTTGCTATGAGCACAGACCCATTAATGCTGATTGACAGTTAACTGCCAACTTTTGTTTTAATTGTAAATCTGATGTTCCAGAGAAATTAACCTGCGAATGGCTGCCAACTATATTGTTGAGTTGAGGCATAATGCATGTGAATATTCTTTCTGTCTGCAAAGGCAAGGGTCCTGTGTACTAATATGTAGCTTCCAGTCCATACATATGCACCACACTGTGAGTGACTGGTAACCTTAACTTGGTTGGCAGCATAATCCTTTGTGCATTGCCGATGTCAAAGCCAACATATCTAGGTAGGCAGGGTAGATGTTTCTCCTGGTTGTGGACTGAAGTATCAGAGGACACAGTTTCAAAAAAAGGGAAAACCCACGTACAACTGAGATGCAAAGAAATTCTTTTACTCTGAATTTTGTGAATCTTTGGAATTTTTTACTCCGGAAGGGTGGAAAGCTCAGTCATTGAGTATCTGTAAAGCAGAGATTGGCAATTTCACAATACCAAATATATAAAGGGATATGGGGATCATTTAGGGAAAAAACACCGATATGGATCATCAGCCATGCTGGCATTGAATGGCACAGCAGGGCTTGATGGGCTGAATGGCCTCCTTCTGCTCCAATGTTCCTGTGGTCTTTTTGATCATTTTTCTTTATCTTTTCAGGACGTTTTAATGATCTGCATACTTAGACCCTGAAATTTCTTTGGACCTGTATTGACACTAGATTTTCTACAAAGTACTTTCTTCTGTCATTTGTGCATCAAAATTGGATGATGTCACAGTTTCCAACAATAAAATATACTTGCTACAATTTTGCCCAATCACTGAAACTTATTTATTTTTTGAATGCAGTTCTTCCAGTTACGTGGCATACAATCCTGTCTGTTGTGTCATTGGCAAATTTAGGTACGTGGCTTCAATTGTTGAAGTCATTAAAAAATATGGTGAACAGTTAAAGCCCAAACACATCCTTGTGGAAACCATTAGTCAGTTCCTATCAATCAGAGGACCTGTCCACTATCCCTACACTCTGTCTGCTGTCGTTCAGCCAGTCTCTTAACCAGGTCAACACTTTACCTTCAGTGACATGAGCTGCAACTTTAGCAAGCTGTCTCCTACAAAGGATTTGATCAAATGCTTTCCAGAAGTCAATTTAGATAACATTCAGAGACATTGACCAGTCTACTACTTCAGTCGGGTTTTCCAAAGATTCACTGAAAGCCATCAGGCATGGCCAATCCTTTGCAACTGTCTTGCAACCAGCAGAAAGTGTTCTAGGTGTTCACTGGCCCTCTTGTGACAAAGTAGTAGTGTCCAGGCCTCTGGCCTAAGGGATTGGGTTCAAAGTCCCACCTACTCCAGCGGTGGCGTGTAGTAACATTACTGAGTGGGCTGGTTAGAACATATTTCTAGGTGTTCAGTCACTCTCTCCTCAGTTAGAGACTGATGTAGTTGCGTGACAACAGATGTTGGGCAAACTGGTCTATAGTCCCCTCTTTCTTTAATAACAGTGTTTGGGGGGAATTGGGGGAATGGAGAATTTTCAGAGAGTTTTGTGGCCTGGTGGTTGGTAAGAGTAGGACAAGGTATTGACATAATATTCGAATGGTAGAGCAACAATGATCAAATTGAGGAGTTGCTGGAATGGCAAGCATAATAATAGTCAAGCACTGGGGCGATGGCGAACAGGACTTTGGGATGAGCTTGGACATGGGCAACAGAGTTTCTGGAGTGTTGATATTTATCGGGGAAGAAAGGTGGAAGGCTGAGAGATGGGAAGAGCCTGCTGTAAAAGGATGAATGGGCAGCAGCTGAACAGAGGCAGGGATGAAGATGGACGACGCTGCGGACGTGGAAATAGGTAGAGTTTTGGAATGAAGAGGATACAGGACCAGAAGCTCAGTGCAGGGTTTGGTCCAGGTTTGGACAGCGATCAGAGGGAGCTGGGAGGGAGGGGTGACACTGACACTGGGAACGGCCAATGCCCACTCTGTGAATGTAACAAAGAGAAAAGCGGCAAATCGGAAAGGTCCTCCTGATTTTACCGCTTCCGAAGAATGGAGATATCTAATTAATTAGGAGCAGCGGTGTGTCTGCTGACAACAGGCAGAGCCGGGGGAGTGATCTGGGAGCTCAGTAAGTTGTACCTTGGCAGCCGGAATGTGTTTGCTCAATTCAGATGTGTTCTCTCAACTCCTAATTCAAAGCACACCTTTTCAACTGTGTCATAGGATTAGGCTTACATTTATGCCTGAGGGAGTGCCGGTTATTGAGTAACACACAAAGATCTTCTATTTAATTCTCGACCAGGGTGTTCGGAGGGAGGTATTCACCTGGTAGTGCATGCTGAGAAGGGTTAACTTGGCAAATTGGGCAAGTGTCCCATCAGACCCAGTTCCCACACTCGACTAAATATGACAAGGGGCTTTGAAGCAGCAACAGGAGTACTCTTGACAGTGTGCTGAGGTGGCTGGGGTAGACTCACTCTTGTGTGAATGGTGCTACAAACAGACAAGAGGATTAAATCAGGCTGAGCTGCTGTATGTGAGTGTTTTTAATATGGGATCTGCACATTGCTGGCTAGGCCAGCATATATTACCCATCAAACAGTTGAGAGTCAACCACGTTTGCTGTGGGTCTGGAGTGACATTAGGCCAGAAGATTTCTCCTCCGTGCAGGGCATTAGAGAAACAGAGGGGTTTTATTTTTATATGACAATGGTCACTAGTAGGCTAACTTTCAATTCCAGGTCTTTATTGAATTCAAATTTCACCATCAGCGATGGTGGGATTTGAACCCATGTCACCAGAACATTAGGCTGGGGTTCTGGATTACTGAGGCAGTGACTTTTGCCAGTGTGCTACCTCTATTTCACAACGCTCCAAAGCCCAGGTCATGGCAGAAGCACCAACAATGGGTAACTCTGAGCAGGTGGCATCTGTGGCCTCTTTCTGAGCCAGGCCGGAAGTCCTGAGAACGTGCGGCTACTCACTGGCACAGGCCAGCTTCCTATTCGCAGGCCTGACTGGGTCCAATTGATAGGAATTTTATTGAGGTCAGGCAATTATTAGCTGGGAAACAAACAGTCATTAAAACGTTTAGTCACATCTTTCATCAACAGAGACCTGATGGCTTTGTGAGGCACTGGGCTGGAAACCGTGGTATTCTTTTTGAGGATGAAGGCCTGAGGAATGTGTGAGAATTGTTAACCCTTTATTGCACGCTGCCCACTAACTGAACATTTGAGAGCTGGGAAGGGAAGCCAGTTCCCGTGAAAACATACAGGAGGAAGTGTTGAGAGTTTGGCACCTGACAGTGCCGAGTTACTGGATGATCGTCTCCAGTCTCTGTGAGAATTACATTAATCCGAAGGTGAGTGAATGTGGGCTGTCTCAAAATCCAAACACTGATGGATCCACAACACAATAAGGCTCCAAAATCTGCATGATTGGCGCAGTGTTCCACAGACTTCATGGCATTTGCACAATAGGTCTAAACTAGTGCTTCCAGTTCACAAGGCCTACTCTTAGCGTACCTCATCAATATGTTGTTTTATCTCTTTATTTACTTACATGGCTCTTTTAAAACGCCCTCTGTTCTCACCATGCTGTAGATCAGCAAGTCCCACAATCTCTCTCTGGTAAGGAGTGTTTATTCTAAGACAAACTAGTCTCTATTGGCTAGTTTTGAACTTCACTGCATGTTCGATGTCCACCCTACTAAACCCCTTCATAATTTTCAATGCCTCTATCAGGATACCAGTCTTTCCTCGTGAGAGGAAAGAGACCCAGTCTCTTTATTCTCTCTCTTAATTGTTATATTCTTTTCAGCCTTAGTATCACCCTCTCCTGTGTCTCTGTATCATCCCTTGCCCTTGGGAAGGTTTGCTGGCCCATTTCAGAGAGTAGTTAACAGTTAACCACATTGCTGTAGGCTTGAAGTCACATGTAGGCCAGACTGGGTAAAGCTAGCAGATTTCTTCCCCTAAGAGGCTTTAGTGAACTAGATGTTCTGTGCAATAATCCTTATCCACCATCACTGAAACCAGCTGTTTTCTTCTCGAGAGATTTCTGAAGGGGGGTCCCGACCTGAAACGTCAGCTTTCCTGCTCCTGTGATGCTGCCTGGCCTGCTGTGTTCCTCCAGCTCCACACTATGTTATCTCTGTTTTCTTCTCAAGTCAAGATTTGTTAAATAACTTTAAATTCCTCCTGCTGCTGCGGTAGGTTTGGAGCTCCTATTTCCAGAACATTCTTCCAGACCTTTGGATTACTAGTCTAGTCATATCACTACTATACTGACGTTCCCATCAAACAAGCTGGTTCCTGACCTGGAACAACTTGTTGCTCTCAGCGTCTGAAAGTTCACAGAACTTAACCAGGTGTTTTTTTTTCCCCAAGTAAAAAAGGTACATGAATAAGGTTTAGAGGGATATGGGCCAGACAGAAGCAAATGGGACTAGTTCAGTTTGGGAAACCATGGATGAGTTGGACCAAGGGTCAGCTTCCACGCTGTATGACTCTATGAATGAAATTTTAATAAAGTCTGTTTTTGAGTACTGAAAGAAAGGAGTGGTGACATCTTCTATGGCGATTCTTGGGAAAGTAGGAGTCACGGTTCCCTTGTTCTGTAAAGAGGCAGTGATAACATTCTGGTTTCCCTTGTTTACTGCAGCTGGAGGATCACCTGAAAGGAGACACCACTGATCTTCTGGAGTAGGACAATAACTTTCAATAACTTAGGGGGGGATTGGCCTAGTGGCATTATCGCTAGACTGTTAGTCCAGAGACCTGGGTAACAGTCTGGGGACCTGGGTTTGAATCCTGCCACGGCAGATGGTGGAACTTGAATTCAATAAAAATACCTGGAATTAAGAATCTAATATTAGGTTCCTAACGATTTTTGGGGGAGGAAAACCCATCTGGTTCACTAATGTCCTTTAGGGAAGGAAACTGCCATCCTTACCTCGTCTGGCCTACATGTGACTCCAGACCCACTGCAATGTGGTTGACTCTGAACTGCCCTCTGGGCAATTAGGGATGGGCAATAAGCGCCCAGCCAATGACGCCCTCATCCCGTGAATGAATAAAGGAAACAGCCCTTTCTAGTTTCTCGTCCACCCCACCCCTTCAATCTACCAGGACAGATGAGGAGAAGCTGCAGAACACATAACCCCCTTCCCTTCTGAGGTTCAGCAGTGCAGTTTCTGGAGCCCTCCGTGCTTTCGAGAAGGTTTATCCTACCAAAGGTCTGCACTGTAGCATTAAATGGGGCACAGCAGGGTCATTGCTGTTGTGTTTGACATGCAAAAAAAGTATTTGATAACCGCCATCAGCATTTTCCGCCCTCCTGACCAAGCTGCAGAGAAAGTCGCTACTCTGCTGATGTACTCCTGACAGAGCAATAAGAATATTTACCTTTTTTTCATTTCAAGACTTCACCCTACCATCTCAGCTTTGCAAATTTGCATCAACACCAACCACGGAATTAATTTTGTACATCCATCTTGCTGAGTCCTCTTGCAGCATGGCATGCCGAGGGAAGCATGGTACAGGACGATAGAATGGCTTAGCTTGAGCCCAGGCAGGCAAGTGCTTGTGATTGTAAATGGATGTTTATCGGTACCTAACGGTGTAACAAAAGTTCAGTGAGTTGTTCAATCCTATGGGTCCCACGACTCAGAGACAACATTAATATTACATCATGATAGAATGATTATGTTCATAGAATCCCTACAGATAGGCAGTTGGAGGCCACTCGGCCCATCAAGCCTGCACTGACCCTCCAAAGAGCATCCCATCCAGACCCAGCCCCCTACTTCCCTATTTCCCAAGGCTAACCCAGCTAGCCTGCACATCCCTGGACACTATGGGCAATTTAGCATGGCCAATCCACCCTGAGCTGCACATCTCTTTGGACTGTGGGTGGAAACTGGAGCACCCGGAGGAAACCCATGCAGACACGGGGAGAACGTGCAAACTCCGACAGTTGAACATGATCAGCTATTACATCGAAGAAGAAGAAGGAGCATTTTCCAGGGCTTTGGGAGAGTGCGATTAGAAAGTTGCGAGCTGGACCTAAAGGTGCAGGCCCGAGTCAGCGGGTGAGTGACGATGCAGTTCCACTTGGCATTCTCCAAGCAACAGCACCATTATGGGGGTGCGAGGTGATGGTTAGCACCATCTGGGGCTCAGCACTGTAGAACCACGCCAAGACAAAATAAGGCTTTCGTTATTTGTTCCATTGGATGTGAGCATCACTGGCAAGGCCAGCATTAATTACCCATCACTGAGCGCCTTTGAGCAGCCAATGGGGAACCTAACTCGGATGGCAGAGTAACACCAACATCGTGGGTTCAGTTCCCACACCGGCTGAGCTCACCCTGAAGGACCCTCCTTCTCAACCTCTCCCCTCGCCTGAGGCATGGTGACCCTCTGGTTAAACCAAGCTCCCCACCCCATCATCTCACTCTCTAATGAAAGAGCAGCCTTATAGCACTCTGGGCTACGGCTACTCATGGGAGGCTTGCTGGGCAGTTAAGAGTTAAACACATTGGTGTGGGCCTGGAGCCACAGAGAGGCCAGACTTGATAAGGACAGTAGATTTCTTCTTGTGAAGGACAGGTTTTTTTTTCAACAATCTGGAGGTTATACGATGGTTAGTCATGAGTAGAATTCTGTACTATTCTCGTTTTATTAATGAACAGCATTGAGATTCCTGCAGCCACCACGGGAGAACTTGTGTATGGGTTACCAGCCCAGTAACATTACCCTTGTGTTGTTACTGCTGATGTATACTGTGGCGTGTGCCGTGGACCTGCATCAACTGGAGACCTCTGCAACTGAGAGTGAGAGGAGATGTTCAGTTTGATACCCGTGACAGCTAATTTAATGAAAGATTTCTTTATCAGTTGACTTTGTTTCTGACTGCAATTCCCGAGATATGGCCTTTCATTCTTCTTCTGCCTGTCTGTATTGCCCTCAGCTTGCCACTTGTCATCAAGTCTCCCCGTCTGTCCATAGATCCGTTTCTTGCTTGATCCTGTCTGTCTATCTGTCCATGCGTATATCCCTCTTGCTGATTTCTATTCCCATGCGCAGCCAATGCCATTCATGTTTGGAGCTGGGTGCCTGAGCAGCTTTCAAACTAACAAACTTCAATCTGCCACGTCTCCCCACTTCTCCATCCCACTCTCCTCGCCTTCCCAGTGCTTTGGTCCTTATTTATTGGATTTTTCTTTTCATTGCATAAGGGATTTCCCGAAGTGGCTGTACATTTCTGGCTGGGTGCTCTGCAACAGCTGCAGAGGGTGGTGGGAGTCTGGAATGCCCTGCCTGGGAGGTTATTTGAGGCAGGGAACCTCACAATTTTAAACGTATGTGGATGAGCACTTGAAATGGCCTAATTTTCAAGGCTGTGGGCCAGGTGTGAGGGAAGGTGGGACTAGTGTAGGTTCAGAGTAGTTTTTTCAGTGCAGACTTGATGGGCTGAATGGCCTTGTCTGTACTGTATGACTCCATTCTGTACAATGCTGACCCTGCACAGTCCAGGTAGGCTAACAGAAACTGACTGTGTAAGGGGGTTTGCATCAGTTATGAGTAAGAACCGTGCAGTATTGAGCAGGAGAGAGTGCGAGTCTGTTATCCCGCTGCCATCCCAGCATTGCAGGTCTACCTACGGCATGTGGACTGCAGCGGTTTAAGAAGGCAGCTCACCACCACCTTCTCCAGGGCAACTAGAGATGGGCAATAAATGCTGGCCAGCCAGCGACACTGCATCCCCTGAATATATGAAATAAATTGCTGTGGATCGGGTTGGTATTGATGAGGGAAAGTGGGGTGTATAGTAGGGATGTGCTGGGGACCAACGTCAGACCTCTAGACTGAGACTTTTGGATATTTCTGATGTGAGCTTTGGAAACCAGGCTTGCATTTCTCGTTAATTAGGTCTCATATTAGCCAGAGGCTTGGGCGGCTGAAGGTTTGTGTTAATGCAGGTGAGGCCATCTCCCGTTTAATAATGTCAGGCTCAGTAAGAATAGAGTTGGCTGGAGAGTAGTCCTCTTAATCCACCCTGGTTATTGACAGCTCAGGAACCTGGGACAAGATTCGGAAGATGCTGCGAGACATTGGGATGCAGACAGCAGCTGACACGGTTGGAGTGCAGGTGCGCGCCTGGGATTAAGCATTTGGCAATCCATTATTGCCTCGGTCAGTCAGCAGTGAGATACAGCATTTCAAGATAAAATAGGATTCAGGTTGCAAACCATTGAAGTGAATAGAAATTGAGTTGTTATTTCACAGTGAGCCTCACAGAAAGAATTGGATTTGTTTTTGTATTGAAAGGTATTCTGTGTTGGTTTAAATAAGAGAACCTGCAGCTGAACTGTGGGTAGAATTTGACATGTGATTTGTGCTCTTGCCTTTTTGGCAAGTGTCGTCATTTGGGCTGGGGTCTATGAGCACCTGCTACCCTCTTGCCATAAGTGACCATTTCTTGAGTGTCTATACCGTGAGAGTGAATATGCCACCTGATGATTTTAAATGTGACAGCCCCCTTCCAGTAAGGGATAGCGTAGAATGGTCAGTTGGGATGATTGACCTGCCCTAACCTGAGGCACTGAGGTCAAGTGTAGCTCCTTTCCCCTCCCCTACTCCTCCACACACTCCTGTACAAATCCCACATGAAATCCACTAACTCAAACCAGGTAGCCCCCTGGCCAGGCCCCCTTTCGTGCTTGAGTTATCCATAGTCCCAGAGGGCGGTTGGGAAGGTGTCTCATCAGGAGAGAGTCGACTGGTAGTGAGTTTAACCTGAGGGTCACTGTGCCTCAGTTGAGGGGTGAGTTTGAGAAGGTGGGACCTCAGCTGGAACCTGAGCTGTTGGGGTCACTCTGCGTTGTCACAAACTGGCTGTCCAGCCAACTGAGCTAACCGACCGTGTAATGACATGAGCCAGATGAACTGCATCCAATTTTCACCAGTTTGACTGGGATGGCTGCGGGACAGGACAGTGGCTGGTCAGTGAAAGCACTGCCTTTTCACTGGGAGCAGCATCTATGCTTCTTAAAAATCATCGGTTTGGGTTCCATTTTGAGCAGCTTGGGTTAATCCATTTGACTATACACGCACACACAGAGCAAAAACTAGACCCTATCAATGTAAGATAGTCACTTAGAATTTGAAGAGGGGACTCAGAAGAAAATTCCTTACCCAAAGAATGGTGAGAATGTGGAACTTGCTATCACTGGATTCATGGATAATTGAGAAGGGAGCATAGTGTTTGCTGATACTGTTACGTGAGGAAGGATAGAGGGTGCTCAAGAGGAACACAAGTGTTGGTATGGTTCTGAGGACCCGAAACGTTAACTCTGATTTTTTTTCTTCAGAAGCTGCCGACCTGCTGAGCTTTTCCAGCAACTTCTGTTTTTGTTCCTGATTCACAGCGTTCGCATTTCTTTCGGTTTTTATTTTGTTGGTACAGATTGGTTGGACAGGGTGACCTGTTTCTATGCATTAAAACCTCTGTAGTTCTGTACAACCGCACAAAGATGTTGTGTCACCTGTGCGGAGACAATTCAAGACATTTGTTATCAGTTTGACTTACAGATGTTTCATTCTTTCCCTTCCTCTTTTGGTGTCATCTAGCTCTGCTATGCCAGTTATAAAAGGAGGTTTGAATTGACCCTGACACAGGCTCAAAACAGTTGAGTATTCTCTTGCGTCACTTGGGAAATAGTTGTCTTCCACCCAAAATACCTGACTGATCAAGTTGAGCAGGATCCAGAACTTATAGAGAACATTGCATGTGTGCCGGTACTTGCCTGTAGCCCTGAGTTAACGCACTGACATTACAGAGCCAGCTGGGGCTAGTGAAACTACAGCTTCTCCAAATAACAGAGAGAGAGCCCTACTGCACCACAACACATTGAGTGATTTTTGGAGCTGTGTCACCCACTGAAAGGCCTGGGTAAAATCTGCCTCCTGTTGGCAAGATGTTGGCTATACTCCAAGGTAGCAGGAGCTGAATGAGAAGAAACATAATTGTTATAGTGATACCAAGCAGACAGTGCCCTGTCAAGGCTGTACTCGATCCCCCTTATTTAGACCTCTACTGTTCACCTTGATGAAATTTTGTTCAAGTCAAGTATCTGTCATTGATTATTGTGCAGTTAGTTTGGTGACTGAGTTGAAAAACAGTAGGAATATTAACCACAGATGCTGCCACACCCACTGAACTTTTCCAGCAATTTCTGTTTTTATTTCTGATTTGCAACATCCGCAGTTCTTTTGGTTTTTATTAAGAATATTCTTTTGTATTATTCTAACTGTTGAATTGGTTTGGGCTTATTATCGGTGCTGTGCGGTATCTGACTTCATGGGGACAGTGGGAGTGTGAAACAACAAACAGCTCTGTAGCCATCAATACAACATCATTGCATGATTCAGTGATGGTTTGTAAGGCTTCCCATGAACTAGCCGCTTTATTTGTTTGAGCACTGAACCTTCTGATGATCGAACACTAATGGACCTAATCTGAGCTGCCTTTTTGTCTTGCAGGTAGAAGATGCCATGCTAATGTTTGATAAGACGACTAACAGGCATCGAGGTAAGTGAGAGCTTCCAGAACAAAGCCTAAGCTCAGTTAAAAGTGAACCCAGATCCCACATTGTGTTACAGCTCAGTCACTGGTGGCCATTCACTGCAGTCTTACTGGGTGTCAGTCTTCAATGTTGAGCTACTTGCATTCAATAATCCCTTTTAGCATAATGCCTGTATGCGACATCCTGTAGGCCTGAAACTCAATGTGTGAAGCAAACTTTGTTGCAGAGGTTTTAAGGTAGTAGGGGCGGGTCAGCAGTTACAGAGCTGGATGTGGGCAGCACTCTGATTGATTGAATTTTGCTAACTGAGATGCCAACAAGACAACTGCAGAATGGCACAAGTTCAAATCCAGAGTCCACCATGAATAAAGGCGCTTGTACTACTGAGAGAAAATTAAATCTGCAATGAGCACAAAATATTCTTCAAAGTATTGTGACATATTTAAAACCTCCTCAGTCCACCTGGTAACCCTTAAGGATGGCACAATAAAGGCAAAATACTTTTTAATGTTGGAAATCTGAACCAATCAAAGAGAACACTGGAGAAGCTCAGCAGGTTTGGCAGTGTCTGTGAAGAGAGAAACAGATTTAACATTTTGAATCAAATTGGAACATCATGTTGAGGTTGTACAGGGCGCTGGTGAGGCCTCTCCTGGAGTGTCGTGTGTAGTTCTGGTTGCTCTGTTATAGGAAGGGTGTTATTATGTTGGAGAGGGTTCAGAAAAGATTTACCAGGATGTTGCCAGGACTGGGGAGTTTGAGTTATAAGGATAGGCTGGGACTGTTTTCACTGGAGCGTCGGAAATTGAAGAGTGACCTGATAGAGGTTTATAAAATAGTGAGGGGCACTGATGAGGTGAACAGCAAGGGTCTTTTCCCCAGGGTGGGGAAATCAAAAGTAGAGTAGCATATTTTAAGGTGGGAGGAGAAAGATTTAAAAAAGGACCTGAGGGGCACCTCATTCCATACAGAGAGTGGTTTGTGTGTGGAATGAGCAGCTGGAGGAAGTGGTAAAATTGGGTACAGTTACACCATTTAAAAGACATTGGACAGGTACATGAATAGAAAAGGTTTAGAGGGATATGGACAAATACAGGCATGTGGGACTAGTTTAGGAAACTTGGCATGGACTAGTTGGACCAAAGGGTCTGTTTCTGTGCTGAACTTAAAGGTTTTGAAGAACAGCCGTACTGGACTCAAAACATTAACTGTGTTTCTCTCTCCACAAATGCTGCCTGACTGCTGAGTTTCTCCAGCAATCTCTGTGTATTTTAGTAATCCAGAGGCCCAGGCTAATGGTTTAGGGACATGGGATTGAATCCCACCACGACAGCTGGTAAAAGTAAAATACAATTAATAGATTGGGAATTGAAAGCTGGCCTCGGTAATGGCGAGCATGAAACTATCTTCAATTATTGGAAAACCCTGCCTGATGTGCTATCGGGCAGGAAATCTGCCTTTCTTCTCTGGTCTGCCCTCTGATATGGTGTAGCAAACCACTTGGCTCGAGGGCGTTTAGAGATAGGCACCAAATGAAGACCTTGCCAGCAGCAGTTACATCCCAAATAAAAAATAAATTTGTGTTTCAAACTGCTGCCCATCTCGGAGCTCAGGATCTATTGCCCTGAGACCTGGGCTCTGCTGCCTTCAGTACCCAGGATCTACTGTCCCCAGACCTTGTGATTTCCTTCCCTTGACACCCAGGATCTGTTGCCTCAAAGCCTGGGATCTGCTTCCTTCAGAGCCCAGGATCTACTGCCCTTGGATCCTGAGATCTTCCACCCCTGGAGCCCAGGACCTTCAGAACCTGGAATCTGCTGGCTGAACCTCTGGGATCTGCTATTCTTAGAACATAAGAACATAAGAACTAGGAGCAGGAGTAGGCCGTCTGGCCCTTTGAGCCTGCTCCACCATTCAATAAGATCATGGCTGATCTTTTCGTGGATTCAGATCCGCTTACCCGCGTTCTCACCATATCCCTTAATTCCTTTATTGTTCAAAAAAAATCTACTTTTTTTAAAAAACGTTTACTGAAGTAGCGTCAACTACTTCACTGGGCAAGGTATTCTTGGAACCTAGGATTTCCTGCCTGAGCCTATGGGATCTGTCATCCTCGGAACCTGGAATCTGCTGGCTGAACCTCTGGGATCTGCTACCCCTGCAGCCCAGGTTTTCCTGTTTGAACCTTTGGGATCTGCTACTTTCGGAACCCAGGATTTCCTGCCTGAGCTTATGAGATCTGCTACTTTCGGAACCCAGGGATCTGCATTGTACACTGTCCAGGGAATTGTTTACAAAGGAGCCTGCCTTATAATTGGGCTACATGCCTCATCTGGAGCACTCTGTATAGATCCGCATGTAGCAAAAAGAGGCAGCAGACAATGCACAAAGTAGAATTACAAGGATAATGGTGGAACTACCCAGAAAACACTAAACAGAACATCGAGTGGTAACCTCAGAGAGGTCTTTAAGATGATGGAAAATGTTTGACAGGGTAGACACGATGTAAAGATTGCGAGTTACCAAGAAAATGGGTCGAGCTTGGCATGAGTTTATATGAGATTATTTACTATTTACTGAGAAGCAGCAGTTTGAAACTGGAAGTATACGCTAAATGGACAGGAAGAGTAAAGAGCCTGTGATAGTGGGAGAGAATATACCGTTCCTGAAGGGTGGATGAAACTGATTCTTGTAGCTGAGGCCAGTAGTTCCTGCTCAAACTGTTTCCATCTTCTGCTTTTGTTTCCTGTGGCACCAGGGACGGGGAAAGGCATCCCATTCCCTGTCACCTTCACCTGATCGGAACTGGGGCTGATGTCAGCCAAAGGTGGTCTTGTAGTGCAGTGGTAGTGCCCCTGTCTCTGAGCCAGGAGCCCTGGATTCAAGCCCCACCTGCTCCAGAGCTGTATCAAAACATCGCTTGATTAGAAAATAGAAATATCTATCTGTAGCTATACAGAGGGCTGGAAATGATGGTTGGAGGAGGGCTGGGTTTAGGGGTGGGGATTTGAATGTTAACAAGAGAGGACAGAGCAGTAGCCCAGGGTTGGGATGTGTGTAATAGTAGCCAGGAGATGATAGGAAGGGACAGAGTATACCAGTGTGTCAATAAATACCATCAGAGCCTAGAAAAAAAATGGTTAAACTGAGAATGGAGGAGGGAGGCTTGGGTGAAGGGAGACTTAGAAATGTAATGACTACCTTTGCAAAAAGCACATCACGTGATGAAAGATAAACGGAGTTTCTTTCTTCTGAGGACTGCAGGGAACTGTCTTTGGTCAGGGACTTATGAGTGTGTTGAAGTGGCTGTCATGGGGAGTGGGTTTTAGGTGTAAAGTGCAGACGGCTTTCATAGGAAGCTCTGTAAACACATGACAGGAACAAAGAATAGAAGGATACACTGATGTTTAGATAAAGAAGCAGGAGAGCAGGCTTGTGCGAAGAATGATCACTGACGTGGACCTGTGACATTGAATGATCTGTTCCTGAGAAGCTGTGATTTTCAAATATTTTTATTCAAAGCCCACTTAGGTGAAGCAAAGGAACCCTTGAATCACCAATTGGTTCTACCCCACCTGATTTCATTTACCACCACTCAAAACATTATAAATAATTTGCTTTCTTTGCTGCTCAAGTAATAAAACTATTTATTAGTTTTCGACTCAAATTAACTTATTGATTCGTGCCAAAAACAGAAGCATGGGCATTTTCACATTATAAATACTAACAGTGCCTATTGGATGGCAGTACAGGCTCAAGGAGCCAAATGGCCTAATCCTACCCTGATTTCTTATAGTCTTATAGAAGATGGTTATCTGAAATGTCCTAATTTTTAAAACTTATTCCTTTCATGAGATGGGTGGCACGGTGGCTCAGTGGTTAGCACTGCTGCCTCATGGCGCCAGGGACCTGGGGTTCGATTCCACCCTCGGGCGACTGCCTGTGTGGAGTTTGCACATTCTCCCCGTGTCTGCATGGGTTTACTCCGGGTGCTCTGGATTCCTCCCACAGCCCAAAGATGTGCAGGTTAGGTGGATTGGGCATGCTAAATTACCCATAGTGCCCAGGGATGTACAGACTAGGTGCATTCGCCATGGGAAAGATAGGGTGGTGGTGGTGGGGGCTGGGGCTTGGATCTGGGTGGGATGCTCTTTGGAGCGTCTGTGTGGACTCGATGGGCCAAATGGCCTGCTTCCACACTGTAGCGATTCTATGAAATGTAGGCAGCATTTGTTTCCCATCCCTAATTGCTTTGGACAGGGTGATCTTCCAGGACATTTCAGAATTGCTGTGCAATTTTAGCCTCCTCCTCTGATGAAGGATGTTCTGACTTTGGAGGGAGTGCAACAAAGGTTCACCAGACTGCTTCCCAAGGCTGGCAGGACTGAAGAATGAATAGAGCCTAGATCAGTTAAGAATATATTCACTGGGGTTTAGGAGAATGAGGTGGGTTCTCATAGAAACTTATAAAATTCTAACAGGTTTAAACAGGGTAGACACAGGAAGGATGTTCCTGATGACTGGGGAGTTCAGAACCAGGGGTCACAGTCTAATGATATGGGGTGAGCCATTTAGGACTGAGATGTGGAGAAATTAGTTCACCTAGATAGTGGTGAGCCTGTGCCACAGAAAGCTGTTGAGGTCAAACCTTTGAATGTTTTCAAGGTGTTAGAGATAGTACTTAGGGCTAAAGGGATCAAAATGTACAGGAGAGAAAGTGGGAACAGGGGACCAAGTTGGATGATCAGCCAAGATCATACTGGATGGAGGAGCAGACTCAAAGGGCTGAATGGCCTACCCTCCTCCTGTTTTCTTTGTTTCTATATTTCTGCGGGTCTCAGGTATGGGCCAGATTGCTCAAAGATGGCAGATTTTAGCTTCCAAGGGGATGAGTGAACCAGATAGATTTTTACAACAATCACTGATCGATGTGTTATAAAGTCATCACAATGAACACCTTCTGAGGAGCTGACTGTTATCTTACATCATCTACATCAACCGGACA